GAAATAAAAAAAATGGTGGGGATTTTTTAAAAAATACATCAAGTTTTTTTCTACCAATTTGCAAGTAAGGGAAGGAACTTTCGTGTTAAAATATAAAATACATATATCAAGAATAATATGAAGATATTTATTTCTATAGCAATTTGAAATGAGTTTCACAGTCTGTGCCCCCCCCCCCAAATGATATATTCTGCAATAAGGGCTGCCTTGTTTTTCTGGCTTTGCCTTTTCACTTTAACAGCAGCCTGACGGACAAATACGTAAGGTAAGATTTCTTACCATTTGTCTCCCTCCTAGAAAAGGGGTTGCCTGCTTAATTCTACCCCCGAAAAAGGGTAGCAAGCCCGTCTGCAGGTTCTACAATACAAAAAACAACTTTTAGGAGCAGGGAAACAAAGCCTTGCCAAATGTGTATCAGGATCTCTCAGTTTTTATTAATAGCTGCTCACCGTCCAAAGTTCCACCATCCTCCAAAGTTCCACCAAGTCTTCAGCCAGCAGAGACAGGCATACTTTATCCCTTTCATTGGAACGAGCAATGCCAGCCTCCAGATGGGACCTGGGGATCCCCCCAGAATGACAGCTCATCTCCAGACTACAGAGATCAGTTCCCCTGGAGAAAACGGATGCTTTGGAGGTTGGATTCTATGGCATTGTGCCCCATTGAGGTCCCTGTCCTCCCCAGGTTCCATCCCCAAATCTTCAACAGTTTCCCAATCTGGATCTGGCAACTCTACCCCCACCAACCCCCGCCAGTGGCTGGGGGGACCTGGCAACCCTAATTGGACTCATATGGAGGCTGAGTTCTGACCAATATGCAGCTCCATCTTGCACTTCCAGCAGACCCCAGGGAGGCTGTGGAGACCATGGACAAGGTGCCCAAAGGCAGTTTTGGGGTGGATGTGTGGACTAGCAAACTGAAACTTAATCACAACAAAATGGAGGTGCTACTGGTGGGGGGAAAGGTTAGATCCAGGAACTGGGATAACTCCAGTTGTGGAACATGTTGTATTCCCCTGGAAGGAACAGGTTTGTAAACTGGGGGTGCTGCTGGACCCAGGCTTCCTATTGAATGAATCGTTGGCAGTGATGGTGAGCCAGCTGAGGTCTTTGCTGGGCAGGAAAGATTTTACCACTGTGGCACATGTCCTGGTATCATCTACTGCAGTAGCCCTTGAAGACTGTTCAGAGGCTACAGTTGGTAAAGAATATTGATAGGAGTGGATCATAGGGAACATATCACTCCAGTCTTGCTCCATACACACTGGTTCCAACTTTGCTTCTGGGCCCAATTCAAGGTGCTTTAAAGCCCTATACAACTTGGGGCAAGCATACCTTAAGGACTGCCTTCTCCTGTATGAATGTACCCATCTGATACAGTCATCTTCACATGCCCTGCTTTAGGTGCCCCTACTGAAAGCCAGTTTGATGTAGTGGTTAGGAGCGTGGACTCTAATCTGGGAGAACTGGGTTTGATTCCTCACTCCTCCACCTTCAGCTGCTGGTGTGACCTTGGAGCAGTCATACATTCTGTTCTCTCAAGGGCAGTTCTCGGGAGAGTTCTTTCAGCCCCACCTACCTCACAGGGTGTCTGTGTGGGGAGGGAAAGGGAAAGGGATTGTAAACCACTCTCCTTCAGGTAGTGAAGGGTGGGATATAAATCCAGGCTCTTCTTCTTCTACCAACTGAGAGTAGATGGGTAGCAACCTGAGAAAGGGCCTCTTTGTCTGTAGTACCAAAGCTTTGGAATCCCCCCCCCATGAGATTCATCTGTCTTCATTAATTGTTGTCTTCCACCAGCAGGTAAAGACTTTTTTGTTTTGTTTGACATACCCCCAGTAACTGTTATTAGCCTCTTCCCTGATCGTGTTGTTATGTGTGTTTGTGTCTGTGTGTTTTTACTGATTGATTTTATATACTTTATTTTAAATAATGTTTTAATGTTCCCTTTTGGGGACCCCATTTGGGTGGAAAGGTGGCATAGAAATGTTTTTAATCATCGTCATCTCAGGTGTTGCAACTTGCCATAAAAGAAACCCCAGGCTTGATAGCAGTTTCATTTGCAGAAATCAGTAGATTAATGTTTTCATTATGCGAGATACGCACTGGGGACATGTCTTGTCCCTTCAATAAAGAATATGTGGAATTGGACAGCTGAAGCTTCTCATGGCATGGAGGTAGATTACATTAAACCTTTATTGAAGGGATGGGACTTTTTTCTCTCTCCAGGAAACCGGCAACCCAACATAAGCATTGTCAACTACTGATACCTACATATCATGCTGTTGCGAAAAGTCACAGCAGCACTGGGCAATAAAGAACATAAAAAAGAGCCCGTCTGGATCAGAATATCAGTCCTTCTAGTCCAGCATCCTTCATCCCACTGTCATGATCCCTCTTGGATTGGATTTAGACTCAGGAAGAGACTCTCAAACGATGACCAGGACAAGCCGAAGACCGCTCTGAAAGAAAATTAGGAGGCCCCAACACCACTGGTGACCCATAGCCTCTTCTAGACCCATAGCTCCTGGATCCTGAGGCCTCAGTCAAAGGACCTCCTCCTGAAGGCTTAGCTTTGGACTAGGGTGGCCAACCTCCAAGTGGGACCTGGAGATCTACCAGAAGTATAATTTTCAGATTTCGCAGATCCGGCTGAAGAGAATAGCTGCTTCAGAGGGTGAACTCTATGGCATTATATCCCACTGTGGTCCTTCCCCAGGCTCTTCCTCCAGTCTCCAGGAATTCCCTAACCCAGAGTTGGTGATTCTGCTTCAGACAATGCTGCCAACAAGCTGGACACCAGGATAGCCACCAGGGTTGGAAAATACCTGGAGACTTTGGGGGGTGGATCTGGGAGAGGGCGGGTTTGGGGGAGGGGAGGGGCCTCAGCATGGTACAATGCCATGGAGTCCACCCTTCAAAGCAGCCATTTTCTCCAGGGGAGCTGATCTCTGTCAGCTGGAGATCAGTTGTAAAAGTGGGATATCTCCAGGCCCCACCTGGAGGCTGGCAGCCTTAGCCAGTCCTCTGCCTTGTAGGGCAGATCTCAGACTACCAATCCCCTAGGTTCTCCCCCACCCAGCAGAAATGACAGAGATGGTGGGCCCAAAAAGAGGCAGCTTAGCAATGACAAAGCACCATGCTGTTAGCCTGTATTCTAGCTACTGAGCCAGATCACTGCCTAAGTTCATACAGTGCTTTGGAGACTGCGACTCAGTCAGACTCAATCCAACTTAACAGGTGGGGCCTCTTGGTTTCTGGGACATTTAAGTTCTGGGCTAAACACAGAGCTTTGTGGGTTCAACCAGTTCATATGGCTAGCATGCTTCTGTGAGACTGGACACACTGCAATCCTGATCTCAAGGCCCTTTAGAAGATTGTCCCTGGTCTCTAACTACTGGTTGAACCCTAATGTTGCCAACCTCCAGGCGGGGCATGGAGCTCTGCTAGAATTACAATTGCTCTCCAGATGACAGAGATCAACTCCCCTGAAGAAAAATGGCAGCTTCAGTGGACTCTGTGGCATTATGCCCAACTGACATCCCTCCCCTCTCCAGGCTCCACCCCCCCCCCAAATCTCCAGGAATTTCCCAACCCAGAATTGGCAACCCTATGTTTTTGAGGAATCCGTTGACTACTTCATGCTGCTGCTATCAGAGCCAGAACCCCCACAATGGCCAACCAGATTTATTATTTATTAATGCCCTGAACTGGATGGCCAAGCTAGCCCCATCTCATCAGATCCTGAAAGCTATGCAGGGTTGCCCTGGTTAGTACTTGGATGGGAGACTGCCAAGAAAGTCCAGGGTTGCTATGCAGAGACAGTAAATGGCAAACTACCTCTGTTTGTCTCCTGCCTTGAAACCCCTATGGAGTCACCATAAGTTGGCTGTGACTTGATGGCACAATCCAGTACCCGAGAAAGTCCACATAGAGAAAATGAACTCCAACTCCCTCCTTCAGCATTGTTAACCCCCAGCAACTCTCACACAGAGATAGACATTCCAATCACGGAAGTTTTGTTGAACCGTGTTAGCCTGTTGAGGCCAAAATAAACTGAAGTTGTTTGGTACCTGTTAAATACTGGGACCTAATCCATAACAGTACCTTTCTTTTGTTTTTTGTTTTTAGTTCTAGTAAGTATTTGTGGATTAGAGCCCATTTAATCAGATTAAGCATTTGAAATGTAGTGAACAAACCAGCATCTGTATAAACAGACAAATTCATGTATATGAACCAATACTATGTGTGTTTCAGAAAGTGTGATCAAATAATGCCATCACTGTATGGTGAAAATTGCTCTTAAATTATTGAAACATCCATGCACGTCAATTAAAGCACAAAAAATACAGCTGTTTCCCCCCCCCCTTGAATTTTATACAACATAACAAAGTAGCAACAATCCAAAAGAGTTGGGTATTCTTGCCAATTGATATCAGTGGCCTATATTTGTCCTGAACTATAAAATTTATTTTTGAAATAAACTAGTACATACTTTAAAATTAAAAGTAATATATTTGTTGACTTAAATGTAAATTGGGGCGGGGGTTGTTTATCACTATTGTAAAATAAAATTCATCCCGATTTTAAAAAAATGCGTGGTTTACTAACATTTCAAACCTTCTAACATCCCAGCTTTTCTTATTCTTATTCTAGTGACGTTTATCTTTTCACATTTCGTTCCTAAAACATTTTCCCAAGTTTCTAGTGATAGATAATTAAGCTAATATTAATTATCTTGATCACGTCATGGGAAAAAAATGAAAAATGATCTTTTAAAAATGTACAAGTATTAATCTATATGGAGGAGGAGGACAGAACTTTAGTGTTGGTATCTGTTCCCTGGTAATCCTGGGCAGCACGTCCCATCTGGTTTCTTTTTCACCTGTCACAAGGTGACTCTCTCTGTTACGTTTCTCATTCTATTGGCAAACTATGGATTTCAGACCAAAAGTGCAGCAACCCAAAAGATGTGTAGGCTCTAAGTTATGTTATATAGAAATGCTGCAGGAGGAAGTAAAGAAGAATCAACTAGTAAGTAAGACAAATGCATTTGCCTTCTCATCACAGAAAAACAGGCTGCCCTTGATTGCTGAAACAGGTGACGTTTACAGCTTGTTTGTGGGGTGGTGTCATTTATAACAATGTGATGTTTGTAGGAACAAGCTTTGAAATGACCTCTCAGTCCGTAGATACCAAGCCCCATTTACTTAGAAGAAAGTTTCAGTGGAATCTGCCTTGAAGTAAGTATGCTCAAGACAACAGCTGTAGTTCGATAAAGGATTATTTTGTTAACTGTGCTTTCTGTGAGGATCTGGCAGGTTTTGCCTTTTAAAATCTTACACTTTTTAAAAGGGGAGTTAGATGTGCAGTTTTGTAATAACTTTTTGTCTTCTTGTAGATAAAGGAGAAAACATGTTACCCAAGAATATTTTGCTATGGTTCCTTTGTTTAGGATAATATTAGTAGTAAAACGAAGTCAGAAAAGGAATAATGCAATGGTAACACAGTTAGGAATAAGTGTATTGGGACTGCTGCATTCGAAGCAATACCTGTTATAGCTCAGTTTCTGCTTCTCTTTTGTTGCTACAGAAATGCCAAGACCCCAAACCTGATGATGATAAAGAGGACGCTGCTGGAGCAACTACCAGTCCCCTAAAACAGGACCCGTTTCCATCCAATAGCCTTTATTCAATTCCCAAAGCTCTCCTGGTCCCATCAAACCTAGGAGGGCAGCCTATCTCCCTGGAAATGGCAGTGGTGAGCAGACCTTGTCAATTAAGTATGAGCTGAAATTTAATCTCAACACCATTAAAGACACACAGAAATCTTATCCAGGAGCACAGTTGGAATAAGCACTGCATGTTGTTGTTGCTAGAAATAATTAAAAAGGAAGGGAATTGTTTATTTTGAGTGCTTTTCAAGGACACTGCTGATCTGCAATGCAGAAAACTGATGTTAGACAAAAGGCAATATTTAGTGAGATGTGCTGTTTTAATTTCCTTATGCCTCTTTTAGAGGGTTTTGTCTTTTTAAATTTAATGTATCTCACCAGGCCAATAAGGTCAGTAGATAATCTGGGAGATGTGGACTTCCCTGCTTCAGAGTATATGTACAACTGCTATTTTCTCCAGGGTATGTCCCTGAAGACACTATGAATAGTTGTTACTGTTTACACCCAATTAGAACTCACTCTGCTTCTGGGTTTTATTTTAACAAAACTCACTGTGTCATTAAAGGCACTGCAAAGGGGTATCCATGTTAGTTTGCTGTAGGAAAATAAAACAGAAGTACAGCAGCACCCAAAAGACTAACAACGCTTATTTCAGTATGAGCTTTTGTGAGTCATAGCTCACTCATTCAAATACGTGAAGGGAAATCACAGTGGGAATTCATTTTATGAGGAAGATTACAAGGATGGGAGGAGAGGAGGTGAGGCAGAGAGGCATGGTGTGAATTCTGCCATGAATCTTTCCAGGGTAAATTCTCAATGTAAGAAGAAAATGGAGGAGTTGGGATAGAAAGGTGAGGTGTGAATCCCATCACAAATCAACAGAATTAGCAGTTACATGTAACAAATGATGAGAGGGGTCAGAGCTTTGAACAGATGGAAAGAATTATGAAATAGGATAAACAGGGTTCATAATGACTCAGAGTAGTCTACAGTTTAAATGAAAATTCATTGATATTGTGCAATCTTATAGTCTGATCAAACAGTCAATTAATTTTTGAAAAAACCACTTCTGCAGAGCTATTAGACTATTTCTCCTTAACTATAGTTAAGAGTATTTAAGAGTATGGGGGAGGGAGTTCTACAGCAAGAAATGTACAGAGAGTTGGTAGTTTGATGCCATACCTCCATGTTTGTCAAATATTTTTGCAGTGGGAAGTATAGAAACATGGTCTTTGTAAAAGTGACAGAAAAGATATTCTCTGCAATCCAGATTCTGTTTTAAATGTCAGATTCTTTCCCATGAAACCAAGAATATTGTCTCTCTTTTAAGGAATATAAATTTTATTCTTCCCATTTTAAGGAACTACGAAATATGTTATTTGGAAGCATATTCCAAATCTTCAGCTATGAATGGACAAAGGCGTATTTTAGATTTCATGAGCCAGGTGCTGACCTGGCCTATGCACTGAAAATAGATAAGGTGAGCTGTCATACACTGATAAATACTGTCTCGAGTTCAGATTAATCCCAGTGGAACCATGAACCAGCAGGATGGACCAGGCAAAATCTCAAGATATGAACCTCAGTTTCCCCATGTAAAATGAGTCTAAGGTGTTTACCACATGGGGCAGATATGTAGATTCCTTGGGGCAATGTGACTTCCCAGTTTTCAGTTTTTAAAAAGTCTCTATGCTGAAGCTCAAATACTTTAGCCATCAAATGAGAAGGGAGCACTCACTGGAGAAGACCCTGATGATGGGAAAGATCGAAAGTAACAGAAGAAGGGGATGGCAAAGAATGAGATGGTTGGACAGTGTTACCAAGGCAACAAACATGAAATTGAGCAAACTCCATGGGACGGCAGAAGACAGGAGGGCCTGGTGTGTTGTCCATGGGGTCGCAAACAGTTGGACTTGACTGTGCGACTGAACAACAACAAAAATCCCCTATCCTTGCAGACATATAAGAGGAAAGGCATATCTCTGCAACAGAAGAAGCTAGACTTTTTTTTAAAAAAATGAAAGCTGGGAATTCAGAGAATCTGTTTACATGTATTGTTATAACTTTGTATCGCTATAACAATATTCAGTTGCCAGTACACCTGAAAAACCACCTACTCCCTTACCTGACCATTTTGGTAATCTTCCAAGCCCCTACTTTGGGAGCCCCCACCTTCTGAGATTAGGCGGGTGGCAACCCAGGAGACAGGGTTGCCAGGTCTCCCCTCGCCACTGGTGGGGAATGGGGAAGTAGGGTTGCCAGATCCAGGTTGGGAAACTCATGGAGATTTGAGGATGGAGCCTGGGGAGGACAGGGTCACCAGTGGGGTACAATGCCATAAAGTCCACTCTCCAAAGCATCCATTTTCTCCAGGGGGACTGATCTCTGTAGTCTGGAGATGAGATGTCATTCTAGGGGATCCCCAGCTCCCACCTGGAGGTTGGCATCCCTACTAAGAAAGAAACTTCTGTAGCGCTATTAGACTCCAGTTGACTGTGGCAGCTAAACTCTGATGGCTGCCACAGCCAGCTGGAGAGACCAGTTGTGGCACCAAAACTCTGGAACTCGTTCCCCAGGGACTCATTTGCCTGTTGACACCATCTGCCAGTCAATGTTCCCTCTAAGCTCTGGAATCTTGTGAGCAAAAATTCTACTTTCTGAGCTACTGGCATTGAAATTGTGAGTGAGTGATTTGGCAGCTACATAAATTAGTTTGCCCTGGAGCCATCCTTCCTGAGCTAAGACAAAAATGTGTGAGCCGGAGGCTAAAAAACTGTGAGCTAGCTCACACTAACTCAGCTTAGAGGGAACACTGCTGCCAGTGGGGGGAGGCTTTTTTGTTCTGTCTGACATTCCCTCAGTGATCCCTCCTTCCTGCCCTATGTTTTAATTGTTGTTTTTATGTTTTTGTATGTGTATTTTAACTTTGGTTTCATTTTACTGATGTGGGGAATTTGTTGTTCTAATGATTTTTAAAATACATTTTAATTATGTATGTTTTTAACCCGTTAGCCATTTGGTGGTCCTGAGAAGGGCAGGAAAGCAGGGTATACATTTTATAAATAAATAAATGAAAATGAATAGTTTTAAAAAACACACACACAAGCCCTCCCCCAGTACTAGGGGAAGGAAATGGCCACTGTGAGAGAAATGACTGCCATATGGGCAGGACCAGGAAATCCTACCTTCTCCTCCGAAGTCAGCCAGCCACCCAGGCTTTGCTATAATTTCCCCCAAAGCAAAGCAGGGTTGGGAAAGCTCAGGGGGGAAAGCTGGAGAAACCCTGGGAGGTAAATGAATATATCACAGTGCTGTGGGGAAAGCAGGGGGGAAACCCCTGCTTCCTACAGCCCTGAACGTGGAGGAAACAACCTGTGTGGAAATGGCCTCAGTCACCTGCATAACAGAATTGTAAGGATGGAAATAGATTGTTAAGCAATTTTCTTATTAAAGGAATAAAGTGTTGTGGCTGGACTTTCAGCACATCTAAATTTGCCTAAGTAAACACAGAAATGAAACAGTTGGTTTCCACAGCTGTTCAAAACATGAATTGGCACCTGTGCATGCAGAAGCCTCCAGTTGACTGTGGCAGCTAAATTCTGATGGTTGCCACAGCCAGCTGGAGAGACCTGTTCAAGCCTTCACAGCCATGCTGCCGCCATGGATGTGTCAGTCTCCAGAGTTATCACATATATTCCTGACCGCTTTCATCTTACAGGCTCAGAGTCTAATAGCGGAATTTAAAGAAGTTTCACATTTGTTTACCAAAGTCCTTGTCATTTCCAAGTTATCATTTAAAAAAAAAATCAAACAGCCCAACTTGTGAATTAACATTAAGAATTCTACTGTCAGAAGAACAAAACCTTGGATTATCAGTCATTTGAAGTGCTGATTCTACAAACAGAAAAATACAACATTGGAACATCAGTAATTTGAAGTGGGGCGTGTGTGTGTGTGTGTGTGTGTGTGTGTGTGTGTGTGTGTGTGTTTGTGTGTGTGTAAATGTAGGGCTTGATTCGCAAAGAATAATTTGCTGATGCTTTCTTTCAGGGTGGAGCAATAGCTATTCAGATGGCTGTTCAGGTGAACATCATTAAATACTTACTGTTTGTACAGAATAAAGAGGAAAACATCCATCTTCAGAGGTATGGAAATGCATGGAGAGTATTTACTTGTGCACTATGAATTGTGCCCTAGAATAAGGGTGCTGTACATAGCACCCAAGTCCACATGCAACATAGTCTAGATAGTGAATGAAAAAACATCATGTTTTCAGAGACTGAAAGCTGATGAATTGCATTATTGTGCTGTTTTACTAGTGTGGATTCCATCACAGACAATTTTGTATCCTGCTTTACAGTTTATGTGAATTAAGCCAAAAAGAACAAGAGAAGGCTCTTGTGGCAGCTCTGACAGGTATTCTATGGACAGCAGGAGAAGGTCAGAAAGCTACCATCTGCCTTGTCAGCAATGATACTTATTGGACTCCAAGTATAGACTACAGAATGGATAACATTACTGAAAGAGTAAGAATGGGTTGTGTTTTTTGTTGGGTGTTGGGGGGGGTTTTTGGCAAAGGGGAAAAAGTCTGGCTTGACTTTAAAAGGCACAAAGTCAAAAATCTCACTAAAGCTTTGTACTTTATGTATTGCTACAAATGATATAGGCACAACTGAATCCCTGACTGAGGTCTGTTTATGTATAAAAGCATTGTTATTAATTAACAGAAAGGCATTCATTTTCCAGAGCCTATTAAAGGATAGTTCAAGCCATGTTAGTTTACTGTAGCTATCTGGTGGTATCTTAAAGACTAACATCATTTATTCCAGTGTGAGCTTTTGTGAGTCAGAGCTCCCTTTTTCAGATACAATGGGAAGAAAGGAAACTATTTCCCTCATTTTTACAGAAAATCACAGAAGGATAAGGAGAGAAAAGCTGGGCACATAGTCTCCATCTGTGATTTTCTGTAAAAATGAGGAAAACTGTACTTAAGGACTTCTGTTTTTTCTTATTAAAAAGAAATGTCAAAAATGTTAAGGTATCACTTCATTTTATAAGTCACTTCGAAAGGTATTTTTGTTGAAAAGTTACTAATAAATGCACAATATTAATGTGAATCCTGATGCTACAATACCTTTTGTATTAGATGTCATAAAAGATTTAAAGAACTCCAAAATGAAGTTAAGTAATTAACTTCAGTAAAGCTTATTTAGATATCTAAAATATCTAGCCTGCAATATGATTCTAATGAGAATTCTACTCTTCAGGGTATAACTCTGCTGAGGATTGCACTGTTAGTAAATTAAGGCTTGAACACATTGTTTTCCTTGCTGCCCATGGAATGTGACATTTGAATTGGCTGTGGTATATTTATTTACATATGAAATCTCCACAGGCTCACAATCTAGCTCCCCTCTCTATCTGGAGATGGGATCCTGAGATAGAATCCCCCCCATACACATAAATGCAACACCGCCTGGCTCAAATGTTCCGTTTGATGTACTGAAAGCAGATAAGGAAGAGTCTGAGCAGCCTTCATTGAAAAGGGAAGCTGGTTCATGGGTCAGGCAGATCTTCACAAAGCTCATATTCACAAAACTCTGGTTAAAGCAAAATGCATGAGAGACTGAAGTGTGTTTGCATGTGATCAGGCTACAGGAGTGAATTAGCACATCAAATGGTGGATGTTACGGATATTTTGTTCTTCTGTTAATAAAATTCTTAATATTAATTTGCAGGTTCGACTGTTTGACTTTTTTGAGAAAGAAGCAGCTGAGAAATTTCTCTGTGATCACATCCACTGTGTAAGTAAAGGATATGCAGTTTCTATACAAGTGTTCTTTCCTGCCATCTTTTCTGATGCTTTGAACTGGAGCTGAAGGAAATGAATTCAGATTATTTTTCAACCTTGCCTTTGCTGATGAATGCGATTAGGGGGGCAGAGGAGCTTTTTTAGGAGACAAGTAGTAGGTAGGGGAAAGCTGAAGTATTTATGTTTATTTTTGTTTAGTACATTTTCTTCCTGCCCTTTCCCTAAGAAGTTCAGGATGGCATATACCATTCCCCCTTCCTCCATTTTATCCTCACTGTCTACTAGTATTGCCAACCTCTAGGTGGAGCTTGGAGATTTCCTGGATTTACCACTGATCTCCAGTCCGCAGACAACCAATTCCTCTGGAGAAAATGGCTGCTTTGAAGGTGGATTCTAGGACACTTTCACATATACTGCACTTCCAATCACTATTAATGCACTTTAGTGATCACTTTCAGGTGAATTTTCCCTTTTCATGTAGCAAAATCCAGTTGCAAAGTTCACTGAAAGCAGACTGAAAATGCATTATTTACCATGAGTGAATTACATTAAATGTCGTTTAGATTCCTCCCAAGGGTCCACCCACAAATCTCCTATAATTTCCCAACTTAGAGTTGACAACCCTACTGACTACTAAAGAACTGTAAGGGTTATTTCATTTTGAGTGTAGAATCATACTGTGTACATTCATACACAATACATCAAATTAATGTACATTAATATGTCAAATTCTGTTAACAGTAACTATGGGCATAACTTTGAAATTTGTTTCTATGTGCATTAAAGGCTATGGGAGCCCAGCCAGGTCTTGGATCCACTGGAGATTTCCATAAACTAAAGGGATTTCCATCTGCGGAGCTGGACTTCCCCACGTCTTCCTCCCACGGCAACCCAAATACCCTCCCCTTCCTATGCTGCTCCTGGGGGAAACAGAACCATCCCTCCCCAAATTCTACCTGCCCTAAGCATGGCCCCCAAATATTCAGGAATGTCCTGAACCAAGCTGGCAACCCTAGGGAGATGGTGCCAATTGCCCCACCTTCATCTTTTGCATGCAAAACACGTACATCTAGCCTTATCCAACATACAGATTAGTACCAGGCAAGCAAGGACTAGTGGAGAATGAGGGGAAAGTTAAATGACAAATATATGCAGTGACTCATTGGAGAAGACCCTGATGCTGGGAAAGATTGAAGGTCAAAGAAGATGGGGACGGCAAAGGATGAGATGGTTAGACAGTGTCATAGATGCAACGAACATGAAGTTGAGCAAACTTCAGAGGACAGTGGAAGACCAGAAGGCCTGACGTGATCTGGTCCATGGGGTTGCAAAGAGTCGGACTCGACTGCGACTGAACAACAACAACAACAACAACAAATGCAGTGACAGTTACCGTAGCAGACTTATTCATCATTTTAATAAAATTAACCTATCTTTAGATGTATTCTAGCTTCTGGTTATACTTAGGGTTATCTCATTTTCAGTAAAACTAATAGAAATAGGTGCACTACTAGCATATGTCAGTAAAACCCTGAGTTACATTCAGAATTCTTGTCTTTTCATTAGCTCAGCTGCGAAGGAAGTCATGGGGTGATCTTATTTCTATATAGTTTACTTTTCTCAAGGACATTTGAAAGGTAAAATGGGTTTTATTCTTTATTACATTTACATTAAGCACTACTTTCTAAAGCAACATAAAATTATGAAAATCTTACAGAAGAAACATTCAAACAAAGAAAACAGGGTGTTTTTTTAATTTTAGTAAATTTCTAGGCTACCACTTCAGAGAACCTAATCAAGGTGGCTTACAAAATAAAACAGCATAAAAACAGCATAAAAGTCATTAAAAGTTAGCAAACTATTTTAAACCCTCCATTAAAAAAGTAGTAAGCCTGTATATAAGAGGAAAGGCGGCATGGTGTAGCCCGATCTCAGACAGCTTCAAGAGGCGATTAGATAAACATATGCAGCAGAGGTCCATCAGTGGCTATTAGCCACAAGGTATGGATGGAACAATATGTCTGGGGCAGTGATGCTCTGTATTCTTGGTGCTTGGGGGGGGCAACAGTGGGAGGGCTTCTAGTGTCCAGGCCCCATTGATTGACCTCCTGATGGTACCTGGGTTTTGGCCACTGTGTGACACAGAGTGTTGGACTGGATGGGCCATTGGCCTGATCCAACACGGCTTATCTTATGTTCTTATGTTCACATCTTGGAAGCTAATCAGGGTTGATACTTGAAAGGGACACCACCAAGGAGGGCAATGGCAAACCACCTCTGCTTCTCACTTGCCTTGAAAGTCCCTTGCTTAGGTCACCTTAAGTCAGCTGAGCCTTGACAGCACTTTCCACACAAATCTATATATGTACCAACTATAAAGAAAGAACCATGGGAGGATTTGAACACACCAGATAAAGTGAGTGTGGACTCACAAAAGCTTGTACCCTGGAAACATTATTTTAAGGTGCTACTGGATTCAAATTTCTTTCTAATAAATGAAGCATGAGCTGTCCTGGGCTATTCTGCCTTACAAAAGCTCTCTTAAAATCATTTGTTTTGTAAGATGCAGCCTGGAAAAGAGTTCTAGTAATCTGGAAAGCTCACACACTATTACACATCACTGGGTTGGTCCTAATAAAAAACATGACATGGATTGTGGTCTTGAGCCCGCAATGTCCAACGCAGCTCACTGCAGGCTGCAGCCGATACTTCACTGCATCAGATGAAGTAGATTCAAGGCCATGGAGGCTTGTACTACAATAGAAGTGTTAGTCTTTAAGATGCTACAGGCCTCTTGGTTTAAGGAGTCAGATTAACAAAAGTCAGTAACTGTTCAGTTTGTTAAGGAGGGAACTTGTAGGGACAGAGACTCTGCTTTCTCACAGCGATACGATACTTTTTTAATGTTTACGATATTTCCAGATGCTTTCATTCAAGATGTTTCAGCCAATGACATTGAGCATGTTTCCTTCTAAATCCTCAATTTCTGTGCAGTATATCTCTAAATGTCCAAGCATGACACCTGGGTATTCAGAAAATAACACCGCTTTAACAATAAATTCTTCTTGCATTTCATTAATACTTAAAGCTGTAATGGTCTCAATTGACTGCTCACATTGACCCTTAACAAGAAATGGTTATTGGCAAAATGTACACAATTGCTCTTTAATGCTATTTATTACTTACAAAAGCATTTGATTTTCAGTTGAATGAATTTGTCCTTTCAGTAGAAGTAGAATGAGGGTGGGTGCACACGCATGTAATATTCCTCTGACACAATGAGTGAGGAACCCCTTGCTGGCAGGGAAGTTCTCTGCATGTGTGCGCGTGCGCATGCATGCACATGCATGTGCAGTGGTGCTCTGTAAGAGATCACTGAATCTGGGCAATATTTTTGCATTGTGTGAGAACTCAGGACATTCATTTAGCCTGCATATAGAAATTATTTCTGTTTTCTGCCACTGATGTTCATACTATATTACTATTTTCTTTGCATAGGCTTCAAAAAGACCTCGACTTCACAACAACTCATCTGTTACAGTGCAGACTCGGGATGTTCATCTGTAAACAAGCACGTTTATGCATGGCCTTTGGGTTTCCTTAACTGCTCTTCTTACATCTGTATTTTCATTTATTCAACGGTTCCCTCCCCATTCCTAGCAGAGCATCATATTAATGCAAAGTTGCTTGTAGAACCCACTTCATTAAATAATAATAATAATAATAATACAGCAGAACTTTACGGCAGGCTATAAGAGACAGAAGTAAAAGATAAAATGCAAAAAAAAAATGCATGTTAACAATCTCTTCAGTATAATGAAACTGAACTGGTGGTTAGTGGAGCCAGCACCAGAGGTCCATTTTGCTCTGCCGCCTGAAAATGTAATTTATGTTATTTTCCTGCCTCTAGGCAATTCTGAATATCATTTTAAATGGCAAAGCAAGCCCGCATGTGTTTAATGGGGTCCAGAAACTTGACACTGAAGGCAGTGTGCAAAAGCTGCTGCATGGAGTTTCGTCCCGCAGTGAGGTGGGTTATTTACACTGGAGCAAGGATGAAGTGGAGAATCACCAGCTTTTACAGGTGAGTTAATCGTGCAGGTCCTTGCGTTGCTCTACAAAGTGCCTTCGGATCCAGGCACATGAAGAGCTTTTAGTTTCATTTGCTGAGTGTAGAAAGATGCTACTCTGTTAAGGCACATCAACTGAAACCTAATCTGATAGAGAAAAGCATTTTTCTCAGTGCTGCTCTTCTCTTGTCACGGAATTAAAATGCATTTAGGCAACACGTGCCCATGATTTGTCTTGGGACTGGGGAGGGTTGACCTTTTCCCCTGCACCACTGTGCCAAACTAGGTTTGCCAACTTCTAGGTAGGATCTAGAGTCCAGCTGAAGGTGACGAGGAGCCACCTGTGGCACTGAAAAAGATGCAGGCTCAATAGGCCCTTCTGGCATTTTAAAATAACTTTAAGATGACAACAGAAAACTCGTGGCAGCCTCGAGTTCTCCCTTGCCTTTAGTTTGGCTCCCAGTTTCAGTCCAAAGCACAAGAACCAACTAATGATGAAGCCACAGAATGATGACATGTTTATGGGGTGCCATAAGTGACAATTCCAGTAGTTTGCAGTGATCAGCCTCAGGCCCTTATTTTTATGGAAGGGTCCCTTTTTCAAAACAAGACTTTTTAAAGTCAGAATTTTAAAACATCATCTCACATTGTGAGTCTCTATAAACTACATCCCATCTACTCTAGGTTGGAAGCATGCTGAAGACTCCAAAACTGCCTATTTGGTTGTGCAACATCAATGGGACGTACAGCATCCTTTTCAGCACTAACAGGTTGCTCTTGTCTGACTGGAAAATGGAACACCTTTTCGATTTGTATTGTTACAATGGGCAACCCTCGCAGAAGACAACAGTGCATCTCACAGTAGGTAGGCGCGTTTACCAGAGGGGGGCTTTTAAATCAAGGCTCTTGTCATGTTTTCGGTTTTGTGCATGTCAAGAACTTTGTCACAAAGTGACACTTAGACCAGGTTTTGTGAATTTCTCCATCTCCATAAATTGAATGAAAAAACTATACTGACTCAAATGCACCATTTGATTTTGAAACTGACTATATTCTCCTTTCTAAGTGTCTTAACAACAGTCAGAAGTGACACATTCCGGAATAAAAGGTGTTTTAAATAGCACTTATGAGAATATTCAAATCCTAGTCACAGTGAACAGTATGAAAAAGCTCTGGTTAAGAGTGGTTTGAAAGATGATTCTAGCAATTTGGAGACGGGGGCATTTCTAAAGAGAAGGATAGTCCCTGGAGGGAATTCTAAAAGCATTATTGATGGAGGAGGGGGGATCCCCAGTCTTTTTAAGGCTATATCATACATTAAGAAACCAGTTCTTTCTTGTACTAAGCACTCAAGTGGCAATGGATGTTATGAGTACTCTTTGACATGCAGAATAAGGGACAGGTGGAAGAGTTGCATGGATAGTTTGAAAAGTATCATGAGCAGGGGTCATTTCGTAGAAAAAGAGCTAGGGGAACTCATTAGCATAACTCATTAGCATATGCCACACCCCCTGACATCACTGGAAGTGTGTCATAAGGCCACACCTCCTGGCATCACCGGAAATGTGTCATAAGGCCACACACCCCGCCCCCAACGGTCCCGGCCGCCGGTGCCGGCCTTACAGCTCCACTGCCGAGCCCCATGAGGGGCCCGGCGGTGGACCTGCAAGGCCGGCGGGAGTGCAAGGAAGCCCCGCGAAGGCCCTCTCTGGCCCCAGGCAGGCAGGGGTGGGGAGAGGCAGGGAGGAAGCAACTTACCCTCCCTCTTCTCCTGCCTCCACCTGCCTGAATGAGGGCCGGAAGCGGGGCGGCCGGAAGCAGGGGGCGGGGCTTCGTCATGTGCCCCACCCCCGTACCTCACCCGAGGGAACTGCAATCCCCCGCGATCCCCCCGAAATGACCTCTGATCATGAGCGTTTGGTAGTACCACACTAATACTTCACCTGAAATTGCCATCACTTTAGTCCCTTTTTGTGGAAATTCCAGACAACACTATTGGCAACCTATTTTTATGCTGCCCCCCCCCCAATTATGGCAATTCAAAGCAGAATTGCTGTTGCCATTCAAAGCACTCTCGTCACTTCTCAGGGCTAGTGTAACCCAGGCATTGGGAATAAGGGCAAGTTCAAGGCTTAGGGCCTCCTTTCTTAAAGCCCCCCTCCCACTCACAAACCTTGGCTTAAGCAAAGCAACTATTTATTACAACAAGGGTAATACCGTTCTGCACACAGTGTCTTGTACTCCCCACCCCCAAACTCCTTTCCCTTCCCAAACCCAAAGGTCCAGTAGTCAGTGTTCCAGAAGTACTGTTCTCTTGTTGGAGTTGGTCCAGTCACAGTCCCTCAAAAGCAGGCCTCCAGTGGAAAGGCAACACAGGTGGCGGTCAGGTGGCAGGCTTAACGTGATCTGTGAACGCTGCTAATTAGTCCATTTCTCCCTGAGACAGAGTTTGTTCGATCACACATTCCATTCTGAACCCACCACAACACGCGATCACCCCACGTTGGATCAATCAGATGCCCTCGCCCCCTTTTTTTAACACCATGACGACTGTATGCACATATGCGCATATCTACACCCCCCACCCTCAGCTGTTTGCGCATGCACACAACAACAATTGTGTGTAACCGCTCTGTGGAGACAAGTCACTGATCCCTCCATGCCCTCCGTGGACTGCTGTAATGTGATTGGTTCATCTCCTGGCATGTCAGTCCATATCGGCAAAACGGTTGGGATATGTATGAGGAAGAAACAAGTTCCGGGGATGAGCTGTAGGGCAATACTGGCTGGCACAATTAAACAGACTATTTTACCCTAGAATTCACCTTGGCACTTGTAACGGAGGGGGCTTTTCAAAATGATTTTGCAAACAAGTAGGTAAACAAGGGGAAATTGTGTTATACCAAGTGGTTGGGTGACGAGCGCCAACTGGGAGCTTCTCAGCCATCAGTCATATATGTGCATATGCCCACCTTGCTAAACCTAAAAAAAATGGTCAAAGCCAGAGACGATCATCCCCAACCGCACCACATGATTGCGCGACAGAGTGATCAGACATCCAGAGAGGTGCGCCGAATCCGTAGAAAACTGAACCGGACTTAACCAGGTGCCTATTTAATCCAACTCAAACACAGATCCCCACGGGATGCTGACTCCTCAATAATGGGGAGCAGATGTTGACGTCTGAACATGCATTTTTAATCCATCAAGTATTGGTACCGAAGCCGGATCAAAATGCATGTCTGACAGCACCCACAGTCCCTCAGCAGCAGGCCTCCAGTGGGAAGGAAAGTTCTCAGGGCCTCTCTCCTCACCATCTAAGAGAAGAAGTCAGCTTCAGTTCAAAGTCAGATAGCCTGGGGAGCTAACTTCCTCCAGAAGAAGTGATGTCCATCAAGGGAGGGCCCACACCAGACAAAAGCCTCTTCAGCTAAGGCCTTTCAGCAATCCAGTCCTTGGAGAGACAAACGACTAGGCCTGTCTTTGCTCCACCCCCTCCCCAGGTTGATTTTTTCCAGTCACTCACTACACGCACCCCTCCCCATATGCACATTAAGTATTTCATTGCTCTACCCAACAGCATATATCCCCAAGGCTCTACACTGGTATACCTTTTAAATGCTCTACTTTTCCTTTTCTGCTTCATTATTTCTAGCCTACTGGTTTTCTCATATTCACAAATCAATTGTGAATGTTTAGCTCTTCATAAGTGAAGCTTTACTATGTATGGAGGTATGTAACATCACCTGATAAATTATATTCCATTAAGCCGCAGTTTCAAAGGCAGGACATTTTTTCCAGGCTGTTGGCACCCTATGTAGGGTAGCCAGCCCCCGGGGGGCTGGAGATCTCCTGCTTTTACAACTGATCTCCAGCTGACAGAGTTCAGCTCCCCTGGAGAAAAGGGCGACTTTGAAGGGTAGACTCTATGGCATTGTACCCTACTGAGGCCCCTCCCCTCCCCAAACCCCACCCAGGGCCGGCTCACTCACTAGGCGAACTAGGCGATCGCCTAAAGCAGGATGGCCCTTAGGGGCACCAAACTGCACCCGGCCCCATACTCTGGGAGTTTCTTGATTATTTTTGTTTTTCATTCTTCCTAAAATGCATTTATTTTTGAAAATTGGTGGGTGCATGGGGGGGGGGCATAAGGGATCCTCGCCTAGGGTGCAAAATAAGCTGGAGCCGGCCCTGACCCCACCCTCTCCCGGATCCACCTCCAAAGTCTCCAGGTATTTTCCAACCCAGACCTTGCAACCCTTAACCCTATCCCCCAGTAAGCATTCTGCATCAGTGGGGGTTTGAACCCAGGTTATCCCCTGTCCTCCATCGCAGTGTCTGTCAGAAAGCTGAAGTATAGGAGAAACGTGAGGAGAGGCAAGAAAAATATGTTTGGATTCTCTATCTGGCTTGACATGGTGTTTTGCCTTTCTTTCAGACACTCATTCTCACCACTGGGAAGAAAAGCACTGTGAAGAAGGAAGTAATGCAGAAAAGAGAGTTCCTTCTGTGGAAATGGTGATCCGAACTAAATGGGAGGGGGCTGCCATCAACTGGAATGGGACCATCCCCTTCTGATGAGGATGGAAAGCCTGGTGGGTGTGTGAGGTGTCTGTCCTGTACGACCTCTCATCCTCAGGCAATCTTGAAACGTGAGAGGAAAAAGGATTTCTCTGCCAGTGGACCACATGTGGACATCTGCGCTGATCTTCCAGCTCTGTCTTCTCCTCTTCCTTATGAATGACAGGACACAAATTGGCATGATCAGACATGGAGCTGCAGGCTAAATGCCCTGCAAATGAAAAATGGCCTCCGTATTTTTTTTATAGTGTCCCGAATGATTGATTCCCAGGAGTCCTGAAGGAAGGTCATGGGAAGTGTCCTGTTCACAGTATAAATATAACAGATGAGGAGTGACTGAGGACCTAGTCAAGGTATTCAGAATACAGTAATGATCTTGCCATTCCATATATCCATGTTTTCTACCCATCTAATTGCTGTCAATGAAAATCGCTGTTATTTCCAGACCAAAGTCAGGTTTGTTTATTTATTTATACTTATCCTTCCTCCACAAGGGGGACCCAAAGCAGCTTACAATTGTTCTCTCTTCCTCCATTTTATCCCCACAACAACCCTGTGAAGTAGATTAGGCTGAATGTGTGCATGATTGACCCAAGGTCACCAAATAAGCTTCCAAGGCAGAGCAGGAATTCAGAGCTGGGTCTTCTAGATCCTGTGGAAGCCTGGGGGGGGGGGGAAATGTTATATTAACAAAAGTATATATTTCAACAATAATTAGGAGTGCAGTCTCAACAAATCATAAGTATAAATATATATTCACATAGTAAAGGCAAAACTCATATATTATACAATCCAATCACAGTGCAATGGAAATCACAGGCAATCTCTCCTTATATATAATTCTGTTCTGGTCATCGACTCTCCTGAACATTCCACATGGCGCCCACAGCCTTTGGCTCCGTGATCTGTCATTCAGAAGCTGTCCCTGTCCACTGGCTGCGTTGCCTGAGTCTCGCCTCCAATATTCTAAACAGTTTGCTGTTCCTCTCCCCCCAATAGCCAGTTGGAACACAGAGGTCATTTGCATATGTGGCCTGATTGGCCTTTGCCTTTAACATTCTAAACAGTTTGCTGTTGCTGTGGGAGTCACTGAATGTGTCCTGAGGTAAAATAAATACCCCAATCTCCCTGTGGGGCCTGGAGATCTCCCAGAAATCACCGTGTTCCCCAGCCACAGCACATCATTTCCCCTACAGACAATTTCCCAGCTATTACAACTGATGTCCAGATTACCAAGATCAGTCCTCCTGGAGACAATGGCTGCTTTGGCCAGTGGACTCTATGGCATTATACGCTGCTGAAGTCCCTCCACACCCCAAACCCTGCCCTCCCCAGGCTATACCCCTCAAACCTACAGGTATTTCCCAACCCAGAGTTGGCAGCCCTGTAACTGGCTATGGAACTGTTTTCCAGACTCTTGGAACCCAGAAGACACAGCATAGGAGGAGGTGTTTTTCTACCTTAGCTGTCACTGTATAGCCCCAAATTAACATAAGCCAACCTCCAGGCGACACTTGGAGATCTCCAGCTATTACAACTGATGTCCAGATGACCAAGATCAGTTCTCCTGGAGACAATGGCTGCTTTGGTCAGTAGACTCTATGGCATTATACCCTGCTGAGGTCTCTCCCCACCCCTGCCCTCCCCAGGCTCTATCCCTCAAATCTACAGGTATTTCCCAACCCAGAGTTGGTAACCCTGTAACTGGCTATGGAACCACTTTCCAGACCCTTGGAACCCAGGAAACATGGCATAGGAGGAGATGCTTTTCTACCTTAGCTGCCACTGCATAGCCCCAAATCAACATAAGTCATAGGTGGAGGGAACCATACCTGTTACCATGAGGCTGTCCTCCCATACTACCCACTTGGGGCAGCAAAATGACTTGAGACAGCCCTGCCTTATAGCTAAGCAGAAGGAAATAAACAGGGCTTCCCTCCCTCTATTTCCCCTTTCCCTCTGCCACCCCACCAGCCACAGCCGGGACACTCACCTCGCGCCTCCTTCTAGATCTCTTGTATTTCTTCCCACAACAGGCCTTACTCCTAGTCTCATATAAACTTAATAGCCCACGACTCTTATCTTCAAAGAAAGGAAGGAATAAAGAGGTATGCCAACAATAAAGCTTTAGAGATCGTAGACTGTTGTCATTCCAGATCCTAGTCTGAGAGTCTAACCACTATACCACACGGGTTTACAACACAGAGGTTGCAGTCTGAGACTCCATTTGAAGCACATTTATTTGGAACTAACTTTTCATTGCGATCACTGGGACCGATTTCCATTTAAAGTGGCTGGAGGCACAGGTATGTTAAACCTAATATAAATGTGGAATAGGGAAAGATTAGTAGAGAAAAGACTGGAACATCTTTACAAGAAAAGGAGTAGGTAAGTTGACAGAGCCCTGGCCTGGATGGCTCAGGCTAGCCTGATCAGATCTCAGAAACCGAGCAGGCTGGCCCTGGTTAGTTCTCGAATGGGAGACCACCGGCAACGGCGAACAACCTCTTTTTGCCTCTTGCCTTGAGGACCCTATGGGGTTCCCGTAAGTTGGCCACAACACAATGAAGGAGAAGAGGAGATTGGATTTATACCCCGCCCTTCACTACCCAAAGGTGTCTCAGAGCGGCTTACAAACTCCTTTCCCTTCCCCTCCCCACAACAGGCACCCTGTGAGGTAGGCGGGGCTGAAAGAGCTCTGACAGAAACTGCTCTTTTTCAAGAACAGCTGTGTCAGAACTATGGCTTGCCCAAGGTCATCCAGCCAGGTGCAAGTGGAGGAGGGGGGAATCAAACCCAGTTCTCCCAGATTAGAGTCTGCGCACTTAGCCACTACACCAAACTGGCACTTTCCACCAGCAGGTAGAGAGAACATGTGATGGAAGAATCAATTGATGTCATTTATTTTTATGCCCTGACATGGATGGCCCAAGCCCGCCTGATTCCGTCAGCTCTTGGAAGCTAAGCAGGGTCGGCCTTGGTTAATACTAGGATGGGAAACCACCAAGGGAATCTAGGGTTGCTACGTGGAGGCAGGTAATTGCAAGCCACCTCTGAATGTTGTTTGCCTTGAAAGCCCTGCAGGGTCACTGTGAGTCAGCTGTGACCTGACAGCGCTTCCCACCACCATTTACTTTTATGGGCATTTATGTTGTTAATAGTCTTGTCTTTAACAAGAGGAGTTACTCCAGAGTATGTGGGTCATGGCCGATTCTGTTGTAGCATAACACACTGCCGCAATGTTTAAAGAATTCTTTGCATACTGGCTGCCAATTTTTGCAAATCCAGAGCTGAAGCTTGAGTGTTTTCCATCCTTATTTGTGAGCAGAAATGAAGTCAGGGCTCACGGTGTCCAGTGTGATCAATAACATTTTTAACCCCTGCTTGAGCCAACTAAGCAAGAGAATTGGGTAAGATCACCTGGCAAATAACATCCCCATAAGCCTCCACTAAAGGTACAGGGCACTTTTCTCCAGGCTGTTGGCAACTCTAGTATGGAAGACCGCAATGCATCAAGAGCTGTGATGTACGAACCACCAATTAAAAGAAGATTTGTTACTAAATGTTTAGTAACCTTTGAAAGAAACTTGTAAAACTATAATTAATAATAATAATATACTAATTGTGTGGCATTGTGGGTAAAATAACCAGGAGATCCTAGGGTTGTCTGGCAGCCAGGACTTCCAGCTCTTTTAGCTTTAGGCACCACTAGGTGGCAAGCTAGACTTGTTTTTAAGGCAAGAGACATTTCAGAGGTGGTTTGCCATTGCCTTCCTCTGTGTCACGAGTCAACCCTGGTATTCCTTGGAGGTGCCCTTCCAAATGCTAGCCAGGACCAACCCTGCTTAGCTTCCGAGATCCGATATCCCGATATCGAGCTTGCCTGGGCTATCCAAGTCAGGGCACTTACCGGAGACACAGAATTCAAGGAATGGGTGCGAAGGGCAGTTTACATTTCTGCAGAAAATTTTTTACACAAAGCATTTAAAGCAGTAAAATGAATTTGTTTTGGCTTTAAATCTTTTGTGTACATTGGTCAGTACTGGTATGAAACATTTCTAGACGTTGTCAATTTGTTTCCCTTCTTTGACATCAATATATTGTAATAAAGTCAATGTGAGTTGTTTTGGGTCCCTTTGGGGAGAAAACCGACCTTAAAATGCTTAAATAAACATATTAGAATGAGCACACCCCAAAAAGTAATATAGGAAGTGAGCATAGTATAGTGGGGAAATAATCAATTTAGAGTTGCCAGCAAACTGGAGGGGAAATGTCCTGTCCCTTTAATAGGGGTTTAATGCGTAGAAATGAGCAGACGGGGTAAATAATATCACCTGGTAAATAACATCCCACTAAGCCTCTATTAAGGAGCTGCGGTGGCTCAAGTGGTTAAGACGCTGAACTGCAGGCTGTGAAAGGTTGGTAGTTCAGCAGTTCGAGACCCGAGTGCCGCATGACGGAGTGAGCTCCCGTCTCAAGTTCCAGCTCCTGCCAACCTAGCAGTTCGAAAGCAAGAAATTGCAAGTAGATAAATAGGTGCCACTTTGGTGGGAAGGTAACAGTGTTCCATGCGCCTTGGTGTTTAGTCATGCCGGCCACATGACCACGGAAACGTCTTTGGACAGCGCTGGCTCTTCGGCTTTGAAACGGAGATAAACACCGCAACCCTAGAGTTGGACTCGACTGGCTTTCAAGCAAGGGAACCTTTACCTTTAAGCCTCTATTAAAAGGACAGTACATTTTTTCCAGGTTGAATTGACACTTGGAAACCCTCTTGAATACAACCAAATGACAAGATGTCAGAAAATAATATGATAATTTGTGTTAATCGGGAGATGCTTAATTGGAAAGCCACAGCTGAAGTTAGTATTGCTAAAATAAGCATAATCTGCCAGTGGGAAAGGACACACTTAAAACACATGTTCATTCCTAAGAATCTGGGAACAGGCAAATATGCAAAAATTATGTATGTTTAAAGGAATCGTGATAACTCTGTT